TCTAAGTGTCGGAGCAGCGCGTCTGCACCGCCACTGGTTCTGCGAGATAGATTGGAATGAAGAGACGCAGACTGCAAAACGACGCGAATCGTTGCGAACTGGCCTCACGCCAATTCACTTTCCGCCTACTGAGTTGAAACTAACTGTATATAAGGTAGCTTTATGTAGTGCGGCGATTTACTTCACAGTATGTACTCTGTGGACACTGCACTTCGGCAACTTGTTCTGGCTAAAGCTCCTCATTTGAAAATCTCATCAAGATTTAGTAAGCGTTCCAAAGACAATAAAGCGCCTTTGAACGGTGTTCATAATACTGTTATAGAGGCAAAGCTCTTGGAAAACTGCAGCGCTGAACACAAGGCAATTGAAAATTGGACAGAACCTTTGAAACAGCCTAGTATGCATTACAAACGTGGGACGCTTGCACTTACAGTTGTGTCAGTCACGTAGCTTTCGCTTAGGATACACATGCGCAAGCGAAGGCCTCGTTTTCGAACCGCTATTGGATCCAACTTATTAGTTTTTTATTTAGAAAATATGGTCGCGCAGGCGTCTCAACAACTGGTATAGCATCCCCACCAGCTCAATATTTTGAGAAAAACAGCAGCGATGATGATTTTTGGGAACTCCAAGAGGTGGATTCTCTGTTTGTAGAGGCGAACGATTAGAGAGGAGAACTCTTTACAACTACGCAAGTAACAGTGATCAAGCCAGAGACATGCTGCAACGGATAGACATGGCTCGTCCCGTGCAGGTCACAAATAAAAGTTAAGGTTTTTACAGAATTTTGCCGACATTCACGCCCATCTCGTATTTTTATCAGCGGTACTGATAAAACCGTAGATGTGAAAAAGGCGGATGAGGAAATGGAAGAATACAAGCAGATCGGCCCACCGATTGAACAGCTAAATCGCTTGCCGACCCGACATTCCGGAAGTTGGGGAGTCCTGGACATTCCGGAAGTTGGGGAGTCCTCAAGTTATTCACTGGTATTCCAAAACGTCATAAGGTTGGATTAGATGTTTAGTTAGAGCATGATCTTTTATTTACCTTGGCCTCTAGAGATTTTCTTATATATAAAGCTGAATGTCTGTCTGTCTGTCTGTCTGTCTGTCTGTCTGTATGTCTGTCTGTCTGTCTGTCTGTCTGTCTGTACGTATGTGCGGAATAGAAATTTTTTTTGAACCGATTTGGACCAAACTTGGAACACATATACTTCGGGGCAGGAAGCGTGTCATAGGCTACTTTTCGTTATCGATCGATCGATATCGATTTTATCGATTTTTTGCAAAATTTGAGCTACAGGGCTGGGAGTTGGCACAGGGGGGTAATCGAGCATGCTGATTACAAATTATTATTGGCAGGCCCGGGCGGAGCCGAGTTTGCCAACTAGTATCCTATAAATGTGACGTAATATTTTGCGAAGCTTTTAGTGCATTTGCATGGAAGTCCTAGCACATGGAAGCGCAGAGGAATCTTCACAATGACCAAAGATATCGGATTGTAACCATTTGCCTTCATCTGACGAACAAAAAATTTCTGCATCAGACCTTGTAGAATTCTTCTCTAGCCAAGCGTTCGTTGTGTTTCGAGCATTTTTGAAATGCGTTTAATGGTAATTTTCACCTGATTCACTAGCCACTTTTCAGCAAACTTAGTGACATGGATTTGAAAGAGCAGCTTTTTTCAGACATAAATTCTTATGGTTGCTTGTGGCCTAAAAGAGGGAAAATTAGAAGGTACATCATTTGCGTAGATTCTATATTGCTGCAGTATCTTCTTTTCGCAATATGGCTCTTGGTCCTTATGGATAGTCCAAGTGGCATCAATAGTGTTTGCTTTGCCGAGAAACTACCGCAGAAATTGTTTCACATAGTTTCTGACATGAAAACGGACAATTAACATAATTCTATAGCAATTACCAATTAAATGATCATCAAACTAGATCAACTCTGCTCACAAATCGGGTATAAGGCAGTGGGTCTATTCGCTAGGCTGATTTCGAAATCCACACTGGAGAGTGTAGAAACGGCAAAAGCTTTAACGCTCTAACGCAGAAGGGGATTCTGCAAGGGCGGGGTCTTCCACTCTGTGAAGTCACTTCAACAGCTTCCAGAACGATCTTCTCGCCTTCGCTAGTCGCCCTAACATCGCCACCGGCCAAGCGCGAACGCGTGACTTGAAGCCTCCGAGAAGATCCGGGAGTTATGAGCTGACTTTACAGAGTGGAAGAATCCACCCACCGGCTAACCTCCCTCCTGCGTTAGAACCTTTTCCGCCGTTTTCGCGCTCTTCAGTGTGAATTTTAGGATTCAGCATAGGAAATAGGCCCGGATAAACATAGGATATCAAAATCGACTTTTGCCCGGACACTGCCTATAAGAAGACCAACTAGGACTAAAGCATATAGAAAAGACGATCATCACCGAAGCATAGCATAGGAGCAAAACAAACCAAAGATGGGTTTTCACAGCCCGTCGCGCTTCATGTCCATTTTGCTCAGGGTTAAGCAAGAGGTGTGTTCGCCAGATACGACCCTCTCCCCCACCCCCACCCTAACTGCTGTCTCAGTAAGACCCCTGAATTGTTGCATACTCAAGACGGACATAACTTATAAACCCTACCAAACACAGCGAGTAATGAATCCATGAGCTGCATGTCAAATAACCTCTGCGGACCAAGTTTTAGGAGAATCTGAAGTTCCCAAATATAGGGTCACATGAGTGGGATCATTTTCAAACATGATTAACTTTCCAGAAAGGAGTTAATTATCTCTTTTTGCACTCAATAGGAAGCACTACTTCTTCGATCTTTTCAGAAATCTCGCTTTAAAAAACTTCCGAAGTATGGATTTAGAAGCAAGCCAAGTCTCGCTTGCCTCTTCGCTTGTAATGGCTTCTACGAAAACTACTAGATTTATGCTACTGATTTATATAAAAACTGTTCGCTAAAATGTTTTTGTGAAATATTTCATGGGGTGTGACACAACCTCAAAAAAGGTGTGGCATTCATTCGGTTAAATCTGGTCCACAGGGGTTACTTACCATGATAATTATGGATATATAACTTGTTATGTTTGATAGGGCCTCTTTATCATGATGTAAGTATACGATGACAGATAATTCATGTGCATTTCGCATAATAGGGTTATGTGACGGACTATTTACAATTATCATGTTACAGCTATCATCAGGCTACTTGATTCGCCACTCCCCCCCCCCCCCTTTCCTTGACTCCTCGATGCGACCTTTAGGGGTGGCACGCTACGCGCCATGCTTGACCCTGATCGTGCTGTGTTTACCGAATCTGCAGAGTCGCAGAATTTGACCGGCACGAAAACATCTGACCTTGGAAGAATTAATTAGAGAGCCTATCAACAACAAGGCTAATGACATTTTTCATCATCGATCAGCATTGTGCACTTATAATCGTGCTTGATGCATGATTCAGCGCTTACAATCAACGATCAAATTTGGTACTTTTCCGTTATCCGGACCCATTTTTTAAGAGGCCCTCCAAGATGCGTTCTTTAGTTTTAGAATATTTTTCGTAGATTCTATGAAGACTGCCTCCTGCCACGTGTCAGAAAAAATTGATAAGTTTTGTCAACTTTGAATGTTTTTCAACATCATTTCCGGTGAGGTAAAAGAGCATTTGTGATCAATTAGAAGCTGTCTAACCAGGGCAAAACGTCCTAAACTTCAGAATATCTTGATTGCTTTCGGCGATAATTCAAAATGTCCTCCTCTTCAAGCTGTTTCCGCCATGCGATTTTACGTAGGAAAGACTGTAAATAATCGCTTGAAGTAACTTGCTGTTGCTTGCTCAGCTTAGATGATGGAACCCTGGCGCACTTTTCTAATCTGGACAAGTTCAATATGTTCACTGAAACAGTGTGATATTGTTATCATAACAGTGTTCGTTCTTGGAACTTTTTGATCGAAAGGGGTCACTATTAACTGGGAAACACGCTAAGCTTACTTTGCTAGAAAGTGCGAAAGCAACTTTAGCTAGAACCTGTTCAACAATTTTTCTGACACGTGGAAGGGGTTTGGCACTCGTTCTGTGAATATAAGACCAATCATGGTATATAGAAGTTACTCTTGAAAGTCTGAAGAGAAAAATTTAAAGAAAGGAATGATTCTAAGTATATTCTAGAAGATTTCTAAAATTTTTGCTGTTCTAACTATTCGGATTTGTTATTTTACACCGTGAGATAGTAAACTAAGGGCTAGTGCTAGCCGATTGTAGCTTTTGCTAACGCACAAGTGCATCTGCAATTAACAGCGACAATTCAGCTGAAGAGCAAACACATGAAATATGACGATTGTTCCTCTTCCGCCAATCGTATTTATAATGCGCAAACGTGAAGAGGCTACATTGATTCTCGCTGCCTTCTTAATTTTACCTATAATTCACATTGCTTACATAATTCGTCTCGCTCGTAAGTGTAATAATCCCTGTCACAGAATGTGATGTGAAAACAAAAAAGTTACTGGCGATCAAACAAAATTCACATTTTTTCTGGCACACCTGAGCAATCGCGAAGGGCTCGCTTTCTAATGCAAGCAGAATCTTTATAATTCAGAATCTACGAAACCATATCTTCGTCCGAAGAGATTCCCAAACATCCAAGTTGATCGCGCATGTACTGTTTACATCATAATTGCATAAGTAAAGCTGCTGTTTTTGTTAGCGCTAAAAATTTATGGTAACTCGCAAAGGTTTATAGTATAATAAAACTATTTTTTGGACACCCCAACATTGTCTTGAGGCATACCAATTTTTATTTTCTCGATTTATAACCATTAGAAAATAGAGCAAGAAATTCGCCTACCAATTTCAATTGCGAACAGTATGTGCGACTGAGCTGAAGGTTCGCAGGATCTTTCTGGATATCTGATGCTTGGTCATCTTAACTTTTGTAGATTTTGCATGCAAACTTTACCTGAATCAGAATTTTGCGGCTCATATGCCCTTTGTAGAACTTGCTCTGGCCTATGTTTATGTTTGCTAAACTTTCATATGTGCCAGTAGCCTATGGAGTTCGCACTAACTTCCGGATATCTCTTATGCGTCTTTCTACCACCCATTGTGGGCCCACGGAGGTCTTCAATGAAGTAAGTCCAGGCTGTCTCTCTCTAGATATCGATATAAAAATTGCAACATCTTCAAAGATAACATCATATTAAAAGCACAAGCGCTAATAATCAAAACATTGCACATCTACTAAATACAGTCATCCTTCTACCGTATACCTGCCAAGAACAATTTTCATTCTAATAGAATTTCAAAGCAAATACATAGGTGAGACATGTTTACTATTCGTGTTATACAACTTTTTGCAAGTGGCTCGCAATCTTCTATTGGCTCCAATGAGGAAGCGTTGGCGGATAGATGACTGAAACAGTGGAATTAGCTCAATGTCGGACGCCTACTCTTTTGGAATTCACAGGCACAACTCAGATTCGAGTCATTCTGATATATTCTCCTATTTTCGTTTGTTCTATCCAAGTCCCTAGGGTATAGAGCGAACGGCGTCATTCGGAAGCGGGTAAGTTTTCCTCCCACGATACTTTTTCATAACTCATCAATCATCGACCAACACTTTGAAATTCACAAATGCCGAGATATGGCATGCAAAGAAACTTTGAAGCCGGGCGTGGGCGAAGCAATCACTTTTTCCACTTCTGACCTCTCCTTTGTTATTGATCGCTGAGCTCAATCTAGAGCCGTAAATTTGGTTGTTTTCGGGAGTGCTGGTGAAAATATTGGCCTATACGGTTTTATTTGTGTTTTCCGAATTTCGGGAATCCGGCAAGCGATAAAACACCGTGAGACGAAGTGTGAATTCTTCTCAAAAAAATTTTTCTCACATTCTAATCAACAGAGAATTCTCAATTAACTATGCGTCAGTATTTAGTTTTCAAAGCCTTGCAGATTTGTTCAAATCGTTTTTTGAAAAAGTCTTACATAAATCCCAATAAACAATTTTCCTGTAAGATTTATCGGTTCATTGCCAAAAAGTTCTTTTTTAACAACAGAGCTAGTAGGTTCTCTGCGCATGACTTACACAGGACATACCAAATTTTATGCGAATTGAAGCAAAACTTCCTGAGTGCTCTTGAAAAATTTTTTGCAAGACGGAATTCAGGTGGCTTCGGTAAACATTGGCTGCTTGGTTCGTGTTATAAACTCCATCGGACAATGTCATTTTCCCAAAAATTCATTTGAAATCCGAGAACGTTCTCCAAGAAATGCGACCAAAGCCCTTGCTGTCTCCTCGCTTGTTGTCCGCGACTCATTTCCATGATTTCTTCCTTCCATCAACAAATCCAGTATTGAGGAAAAAAGGCAAGAATATGGGGAGGTGCGGGAGAGGAAGGAATGATGGCTGCTTGAGCTCAACTAGCTTTGAAATAAAGCTATGCAAGAGTTTTGGCTCTATATCCCCGCAACTTTTCTGGAACTATCACATCATCGTTTTGAGTTTTATCGTCTCTCCTGTGGCCGTATTCATCAACGAACCCAGTGGGTTCCGGTTAGTGCTTTTGATGAATATCGATTCTACTCCAGGGCTCCAGGGGCTACTCCGGCCACTGATCTATCAATATTGCATCGTAAGACTCATTTCAAGAATTGTGATTCTCGGATGTCGTCACTGCCAGGTAGACACCGAATATAGAGATTCAATACTTTAGATTCTCAAAATGCTAGAAAGTCGAAGACAAAAATATCAGGTAGTAGCATGGCTAACATCATCTTGATGTCTTTGAAATATAGATGATTAGTGTCAGAAAGCGTTAGACGTGCAGCTAGAACATGCCAGCTTTGTGAGATATCCGTTTTTACAGAAGTAACAGAGTATAGCAAGTAATGACTTCATTTGGGTTTTAATTCAAAGCATCATGCCTGCTATTTTTCCATGAGGCAATAATGGAAAGCACCATTCGACTCTTTTCACCACGGCTATAATGTATCAATCAACAATTCGATTTATGACAGATTGAGAATAATCATCGCAGAACGCCTCTAATTGGTCCCTAACCTATTCCTGGTAATAGATTTCGGATTCATTCTATGGAACCGTGAATCAGAGCGGCCACAAGAACGAGCGCAGTGATGCTGTCTGACTATAAATACTCGATTGGGCGCGGGCAATTCCCACAGGCAGAGCCCCGCCAGTCGGCATATTCTCTCAGATCTTTCCTTGTTGTCAGACCCTTCAAACTCCATTCGTACTTATTGTCGGTTCAACTCTTTCATACCAAGTGCTTCGTTTCCTTAACTGTTTTTCCCTTCGCTAGGGCGTCCCTTCTTTTTCTACAAGTTGGTTTGGCTTGCTATTAGCGATGTGAAGAGCATGTTTGGTCCACCTGAGCTGTGATATTTGGGACTCGGTTGATTTAATGCTTTTCCGTCTGTGGTCATTGCTAGAGAAGTAATTGTTGGTCGGTCCAGCACTTGCTTGGAACTCTGGCATTTCAGCTGCTAAAGAAATTTTATCTGTGAACTAAACTCTATGAAAAATGAAATAATCAAATCACGTGTCTCAAAAAATGTGCACGCACTCATTTTGCAGGAACTCACTTATCTTGAAACCTTTTAAAATCAAGTTTGGTGGCTCTTCATTACTGTATGATTACTGCAGAAACTTCGCACGCTGTTTTATTGGAAATCTGCTACGAATCCAGAAAATTCCAAAACACAACTTTGGTGATAACGAACTTATCCCAGTTAATTTTATACAGGTTGGCAGTTTGATGGACGTGAACAGTGTTTTGAAAGTATCGGGACTATCGCTGCTATGGTTTAGCTTTGGAGTTGGAGATAGTTGTGGAGTCTGATGCCCTGTCTTACTTGATGACCGTAGCTCTTTCGAAGTCCCATGTGAAGCAAGCATTGGTGTCATTGGCACAAACTGTGATTCAAATCGAATACATAGCATAATGGTATACCATGATACATGCTGTGATCAGCTCGTGAACGTTCGGAAGCTTTTGATAGAAAAGAAGAACATCAAGTGCTCTCATCCTTTGAGACGGGTATATATGCTAAAACCCGTTGCAATTTCTTTGCGCAGATTTCAATTAGCAGATGTGTCATGGCATGTCATTTTTTCAAACTCCGATTGGAACATTCGAAATTGGCCTTCCTAGAGGCACCAACAATCGCAGCCTTATTTTATGAGAATAAGCATAACTTGCCTTTACCAAAATTGCTGTTGGAGGATTTTTTTTATCAAGACGTGATTAGATTAGACTAGCATATGTTATATGTTCTCTGATTATGAAACCTGGACATTTTCTTGAAGTCGTGCACTTTGTTATACTTTACGTTACGTTACGTTACGTTTGAAGAAACGAATTTTTTTTGGAAAACGAAACGTTAGACCAAGTAAACATCGAAACAAACCTGAGTGCCTTATGGTAATGTGTATGTCTTCAAGAAACTAGCACATTTCTTCTCTAAAATATCTTCTACCTTAGGACTATGAATGACCGCGTTCAAACAAACTTCAATTTATATTGAATCAACAGCTTTCATCCTTTGGAAACAAAAAATCTGTGAAAGCCGAAATAAAGTGCTTATTACACACTTCTGAGGTTTGTTCTACACTCCTTCAATGTGAGTGAGTGTCATTTGGTGAAGGACTACCCAACAATTGAATGAATTGCTTGACAACATGATAGTGATCTCCTGATAGTGATCACTCCTACTCCTTCTGTCTTCACGTCTACCGTATCCATCGTCTTAGTAAATTTTGATATTATAGTTTGTGCCAATGCACTTCAGTCTGCTTCAATATCAGAACAGCACTGTCCAAAAATCAAGATAATTGTGCTCAAATTCCCTTCAGAGTTTATAAAAAACAAAAGATTTTAAAGCAATGTGGCAGGCAAACCAAGCCTTTCATGAAAATCTGCCTACTGGGAAATGAAGAAAGGACACATGTCTTTCACACTTTATTATTAGACTTCCTCTCCCTTGTGTCTCAGCTATTAATGCAAAATGCATTTGTGGTTCAGAAACTTATGAGCGGCCTTTCAGAGGAATGCTCAAATGGAGGGATTGTCAGAGTGTAATTACTCAACTGCTTCTCTTTTGCCTGTGTGCAGCTATTGTGAGTGCGGCGAGAGCAAAGCGTGAGTACATGGAGCCACTGTGCACAAATTACGTAATCTGCACTAATTCTGCTTCAGAATACTTTTATCTTCTCAATTTCAATCAAAGTCATTTCAGATGACAACTGCAGATCCGAAAAACTGAGAGAGTTAATATTGGAAACCGTCGGAATTTATCCACATCAATACAGCTATCAAGCAAAGCAAGTAATCTTTTGTCCAAGAGCATAATTTCGTATGAAATTTTTGCAGGTATTTGAAACAACAAGCAGAGCAGCGATTCGGTAATTGGTGGAGTGCTGTTATCGTTGGTGATCGAGGAGGCTATGGCATGAGCGCGGTTTACGACAAGTATAGGAACACAAGGTATATCCGATGTTGCTGGATTTAGTAGGAAACAAAGAGCCGACTTCGCGACCGTGATGCCGGTTTTCCAAAAAAAATTTCAAAAAGTAAATGCGATTAAGGGAAGTGCTCTTTTGCATGTCACTGCATTGTTTAAATAACGATGAGAGTTTTACAGCACTAGCACATAACTTCAAAACAGAACCTTTTTGGCGTGCATGCCATTCAATGATATCCCAAGGAGTGCAAACCTAACTGTATGCAATCAGTTGCATTGCTCGGCTGTGTTAAAATTATTGCGTAAGCATTATTTTTGTCTGAATTAACTCAAAGAATTGTAATAGCCATTATTTTTTCAACATTGCTAATTTTTAAGGGATGCTCCTCAACTTTCCGATAGGTGCAGTACTCCAAACTAATCCAGTTCTTGCATGTTAATAGCTGCTCAAGCAACCTTATGGTAGTTGCTGCGAGCCAAACTTTTGTAGTTGCTACAACTCAGCTTGTGTAGTGCTGCATGCCAATCTTTATGGTTGCTCCACAATGAACTTGTGATAGTTGATGCACGACTTCGGTAGTTGCAGCAACTCTCAGCCTTCTGCTGCACGCCAGCCTTCTGTAGATGTTCTTCAGTCATCTTTGGTGGTTGCTGCACGCCAACTTATCCTAGTTACCGCAACTCAGCTTCAGCCGCTGCTTGTCATTCTTTATCTCCACGATAATCTTGTGGCTGTCGCCTCCCAAACTAATGTCAGTCGTAAGCTTTTGTAGTTCTTTGACTGGTACAGAGAGCGGGACGACGCAAACATTTTATAACTTTGCCAAGTGGCGCTGTTCGATAGTAATATCGTTCCCTCCAGAGTTGCCGCTACCCTTAGTCTGCGTCTCAGACCTGCCACGTGTGGCTAACATGTTGGCAACGTGGCAACGACATATTTGCAACATGCCACAACATGTTGGCAGAACATTTTGGCCACCACATGTTGCTGCATGTTGCAAACTCGTTGTTGCCCCGTTGCCAACATGTTAGCCACACGTGACAGGTGTGAGGCGCAGACCAAGTGTAGCAGCAACTGTCGAGGGGGAGATAGATAGAAAGCGATGCACTAGAATAAAGAAAAACAAGTTTATAACGTGTTCGATCGTATTATTTTATACATTTGAACATGTCATCATTGTATCCGCATCTGTTCCGTTCTCTAAATCAATTTAAAGGCAGCGTACACCCAAAACAAATGCAACAGATGTTGCAACAACAACTGCAACTGCAATTGCAGCTTACGCTGTTATGGATTCGTCCGGAGGAGGCGGAGCGAAAGAAAAGGGGCGGCGTGAAAGAAAATTGAGGGGGGTTTTCTCCGCTCAGAAGCAACATTGGGAGACCGGACCAACGCAGTTGGTCTTCTTCCGGGCTCAGTATATACACGGTGTAGAAAGATCTAGGAAATTCGGTAACTCAAATTTTGGGTGTACGCTGCCTTTGAGGCCACGACTGGTGCTCTTCAACCTAATGTAGTTGCTATGCCTCACCTTGTCCTTGTTAATTACTAAGCCTTAGAGGCAGCGTCCGGGCAAAATTTCGCCTCTCATGTTTCTGCCATTCTGGGGCCTTTCTGTGTCCCTGATTACAGTTGTGAAGTCCATATTGTTCAAAACCCCCAAAAAACCCGATTCTTGGGGACCCTCTCTTCAAGGAGCGGACGAGTTCCGGATTGCTCGTCCCCATCGCATGCCAGCTTGAGGAGCTGCACTGCGCGGATGCAGTTGCATTGCAGTGTGCAGTACAACTGCAAAGCAACTGCACACCTGCGTGAGCACTCGTCCTCAGAGGTGGTTTGTGATACGAAGGGACGGTTTGTGATACGTATCACAGGCCCGTATCTTCTTTTAGAGGCCACGTCAAAGGATCGGACCAACGCAGATCGGATACTCATGGGCCCCTCTTTACAAATACGTGTTAATCTGGGTGGATGGATCTTGCCTGGACGCTGCCTTTAAACTTGTGTTTGTCGGTGCACCACATCTTGTTAGTTGCCGGATCCTACTCTTGTTGGTGTTGGCGCAACGCACTTTATGTACTTACTAAACCCTAATTGTGGTTTTTGGTGCACCTCACCTTTTTAATTGCTGAATAACCTTGCAATTGTTGCGGCACCTTCTTGGCGCCCTCTTTATTTCCTTTTTCTAACCCTTATGGTTGTTAGTGCACCTCATCCTGTTCCTTGCAGAATTTTAATATGGCTGCTGGTGCATCTCACCTTGTTATCTGCTGAGTCCTAACCAGGGTAAAGCGGGGGGTGCGGCACGCCGCAGAGGGGGGGTCGTATTGAGGAGTCAAAAGGGGAGGGGGTCGTAGTTAGGTGATCTGATTATAGCGATAACATGATATTCGTATCATATCCATAATTAGCACGTCAATTAACCCCTGTAGACAAAGTGTGAGCGAATTCTGAAGATTCAAGATACTAGGTTACCTAAGTGAAATGGTCAAATTCCAACATGGTTAACTTTGTTTTAAAGGTGAATTAGCTATCCGTTTTTGCACTCAAGACAAAGCACTACTCCTTCTTTGTCCACCTCAGGAATCCCGCTTCAGAAGACCTCCAAACTGTGGAATTAGAAGCCAACCAAAATCTCATTTTTCCCATTTTTCGCTTTTGATGGCTGTGCTTTCACCAAATATTACTCAGAGCTAAGAAGACGAATCAGGCTCAAAACATCCCTATGGAATCTACGAGGTTTAGGCTATCGATTCATATAAATATTGTCCGCTAAAAATGTTTTTTTGATATAGTTAATGGCCTGCGGCACCCCCCCCCCCCCTCAAAACCTGCGGCTGCCGCAGGGGTGCCGCAGGCCATTAACTATATCAAAAAAACATTTTTAGCGGACAATATTTATATGAATCGATAGCCTAAACCTCGTAGATTCCATAGGGATGTTTTGAGCCTGATTCGTCTTCTTAGCTCTGAGTAATATTTGGTGAAAGCACAGCCATCAAAAGCGAAAAATGGGAAAAATGAGATTTTGGTTGGCTTCTAATTCCACAGTTTGGAGGTCTTCTGAAGCGGGATTCCTGAGGTGGACAAAGAAGGAGTAGTGCTTTGTCTTGAGTGCAAAAACGGATAGCTAATTCACCTTTAAAACAAAGTTAACCATGTTGGAATTTGACCATTTCACTTAGGTAGCCTAGTATCTTGAATCTTCAGAATTCGCTCACACTTTGTCTACAGGGGTTAATTGACGTGCTAATTATGGATATGTTGTCCATTATGTTTGACAGAGCCTTCAGGTAATACTATCTTAAGTGTATAGTTTAGGAGGGGGGTCTTATTAAAACAGCAATCAGGGGGGGGGTCGTATCCGACGGTCGAGTGCCGCACCCCCCGCTTTACCCTGGTCCTAACCTTGTGTGTTGGTGCACTTCACCTTATAGTTAATGAACCCTAACTTTGTGGTCGTTGATGAACCTCACCTTGTGTAGCCGCTAAACCTTCTTGTGGCTTTGCTACCCCAACGTTGCTCTAGCTGTACTCCAGCCCGTTTTAGCAGGCTGCACTTCAACATTGGGAAGAAACTGCAGCTCATCTTGTGTAATCGCTGCTCTAGGCTTTTAGCACATCAACCCTTGGTGTTTGCTGCATTCCAGCTCCAAATTGTCACTGCACCTCATCCTTGTGTTACCTGCTACAATCTATTCTTACGTACTGCTACATCCAGCCTTGAAATGGCTGATCATTGTGTTTCTCCTTAATATTTTCTAAAAATACTAATTAGCCTTGTAAAAAATTTCTTTCGGGCACGTGGTTAAGGCCACGCCCCCTTTTTCTAGATTTTAGGGGTTAAGGGGCCGAAAAAGTTTCGAGAAGCGCCCCAAAAAAATCTCCGAAATGCGTGGCTAATGCTACGCACCTTCATTGGGAAAATTTTTTTTACCGCCCCTGTGATCTCCATTGATACTATGGAAGAAAGTTTTGTCGCATTCTACAATGCACTACATTGCACTATCTTTTCCATTATCAAGCTAATTCTATGCTTTGCTTTATCCTGCTGTAAACGATTTTTTTGAAAAGGCTACTGAAGCAAAACCTATTTTGCGAAACAATAGGGCCGCTGTCATCTCGATAACTATAAATATGGTTGATCATCAGATTGCAATCGTTGCAGGTTTGAGACAAACTGAATCAAAAAGTGATTAAATTGCAATTTTTATTTATTATAATTTTGCTATCCAATACAGTCATTTCTGAAACTACTTGACTGACAAGGTATGCATGTTTAGTCGAATTGGCTTTTTCGGATGGATGTATACCATACTGAAGGGCATAAAACGCTGATTCCAAATCTGTTTTCCTTATCCACAGAACATTTATGGACGAATAGTTATGAGCGCTTATTGGGGGAAATTGAATGTGTAAGTAGAACGAAAATAGCCGTAATACTTTTTCTAGCTCTTCGATGGAGCAGTGATAATCATCAGATTACTTTATTCATAAAATAGTAAAATAAAAATATATTACACTTGGTCGCACTTATTGGGGCTAGTAAGATTTTAGCAACTCCAGTTTTATCCAAAATCCGTATTCAATTTTTGGCTCCAAAAAACGCTCATGACTTCTCGTTCTTAAACGTTATGCAGATAAGGGAGGCAGGTTTGGAATCAGCGTTTTATGCACTTCGGTATGGTATACATCCCATTTAATAGTGCCACTTCGACTAGACAAGCCTCCCTTGTGAGAGGCATCTTGAAGCTTAGCTACTCAGTGGAGAGGGAAAGGTTAGAGGAAAATTTATAGGATCAGTGTGTACAACAGAACTACGTCCCAGCACCATGGCGCTTTTCTTAATTGCCCTTACATTCGATGTATTTGTTTACCTGAAGTAGAGGAACTTTTTTTTGTAAAGATTCTAAAACTTATTCAATCTACCACTTCCAAATTTGCCGAAAAATCATAACAAATTTTGCTTCAAATGCCAATCGTGCTCTACATATACTTAGGGCTTATACACTTCAGTTCGGTGGAGTTATGTGATGTCATTTCAGCTGCGAAATGCAATTGTTCGGTACCTACTACTGGATAGGGCGCACGTGCTGACCACTGTCTTCACGCTCACTCATTCTAATTCGTTCGAAGACCAGCAGCAGCACCGCGCATATCACTAGGTTCTTGTGACGGAATTGTTTCTAATTAAACAAGTATGTGTCACAGATATTTATGTGCCATAATTTTGTACGAATGATTCTTGTGTGACAATGAAGAATGACGTCATTTTTCTATTTCTATGTTCAGAGCAAATGATACATAGCAGAATAGATGTTTGAGCTTCAAATGACGTCCGCTAACTTGATACTAAAACCTACCGTCAATCTGTACGTTGTCTCTTGCAGATGTGTCCCCTTTTCATTACTCTGGACTGGATTCCAATTAAACTTCAAATCGGCGGGAGCGAAATCAACCGGGCACATAAATCTCTTCGTAAAAGTCTATAATTACGCAATCGAAATGTTCCAATTCAGGGCAGTGTTTTCAAATCCAATCATAGCGTTGCGGGTGACATTCAAAACTGTTTTCCTCCCGGTAGTTAGGTATTCTGGTTTGCCTTTATAATCATTTCAAATAACAGCGGGCTGTTATAAACGCAAGTGCCGCTCAAGCCGTCAAATTCACTTTCAACAGAAATAGTGCAGAGACCGGGCACTCCACAAACACATTTGTTCCCCAGGTGCACTGTAGGATACGATGTATTAGGCTGTTATACCATCAGAAGAACAAGCTATTCAAACAATCTTTCTGAATTTTATTCATACTTTGTAACATTTGATAGGTTGCGGATTCTTTGAGAACAAGAGATCTTACTGCATTGAAAACCAGAAACTTGAAAAAGTAATTCGGAAATCGCAATTATGGAAATCGTGGGCATGCGACTACGCATCGCAATACCGAAAATCAGTTTGAAAGTAGGCACTAGACGTTTCAACTTCTGGCTATCAAAATTCAAAAGTCGCTTTTTTAAATATCTCTCCTAAACATTTCCTGTATCGTTAGGATACGCCAACAAGCATCTGTGATGTAAGCAGTCAATGCGCAAGGTTTTTTCTCTGTTCTGTAACAAGCCAAGCATTTTAGTTGAAGTTACAGGAGACTATGAATTTTCGAAAAATTCTGTGCACAACTAGTAGATATCAGTTGGATAGTCTACATTGCTAAATATGACGGCCGAACTTCTTTATCGTTAAATAACTTCTTTTGTTAGGAATGCAACATTGCTGGACCAAGTTATTCACTTAGCCAATTTCTTCCTGATTTTCTAATCGTTGAAACATAGCAAAGTAATGTAAATGCTCCCGTATTTAGTATATTTGTGGAAAGTGAAAGGTTTGTGAGCCTTTCTCTGCGGCGAAAATTCAATCTCATTGCAACTACTTTCTGAACTTCTTCAAGTTTTAGGTGGAGCATAGTTCGCTAATCGTCTCATACATATACATTATTAACAAGGATGTTTGGGCATCATCTTTGAGATTTTCTTAGCTTCCAATCATTCAAGCCTCACTGAAAAAATAGAGATAGGAAGTTGAACCGAGATTATGAAACAGGGGATGAGAGTTTTACAGTGAAATTATTTGAAGGAGGCGTGTGCTAACAAAATGCTTGTAACAGAATCCATCTACAATTCCATCGTTGAGGGAAAATTCTACTATAGAAAAGTGGAGTGTTTCTTTCATAAAACTTGCGCTTTTGTTAACAAGTGATAGTGGCCAAGTTGTCATTCTTGTGGTAGCCAATACGGCTGTTTTCCAAAATGAACGATAGGTGCGATTAAGCGTACTAAATTCGTACGGTTGTCAATACGCCGCGTATCGTCGTCCTTTTTAGACCATGTTCTTCGTCCATTTGCAAATGGTGTCAAAAAGTAAAGACTAGGCCTTCTCAGCTCTCGCTTTTTTTCCATATTCTTTTGTATCGTCACAGCATAAATATACAGTTTGAGAAAGATTTGACCTAAGATTTGAGATACGCTACGCATATGGCTGGCACAAGCTATCGTTCATGTTGGCTGTCCCCCCCCCAATACTAAAATTTCTGGAAGCCCACTTCAAGCTTTTCAAGACGATTTCATTGAAAGACACTGAAGTCATTTCAAGTAACACATTTTGGTGACAGCACGTCTGTAATGTTATGGTTCTCGAGGTCGTGGATATGCTGCATATCGAGTTACTAGAGAGTAATCAACTCTTCAGCGGTGTGATTTCTGCGCACGGAGATTTTCGAAATCATTCAGGTAAACCCAAAAGCATTCCAGCTATTTTCATGCTTGTTGAAAGACTGCACCTTTTCTCCATAAGGTTGTAAGATTGTAACGTGATCAATTTGGCTTCGCTAAAATTAGAAGAGAAAAACATGTAAAGCCTTCATCTGAAAAGAACACATCACTTTGCATCATATTTGTATAGAAAAAGCACAGATGCGTTCAGCAATTGAGTCCAATCACAGCAAAGACTTTTAGTCGCGTTTATTTTCATGTCACAACACTGAGAAGATTATTACTATGTACACTGCACTGAATGAAAAACACCAGCTTGAGCTCTGTGCTAAAGTCTCCATCCATAGCCGATGTTTCATTTGATAGTGTCCGGGTTTACACTATCCTGAAAATAAACTGCCTGATCTTAGAACAGACTCAGCGTCAAATCTCAAAGAATACCCTCTTGATTTTGTTGAGCGTCTCCTCGACTTGATTGGTTTGACTTGGAGCGCTTTAGCAATGGAAATTTTTGGCTTCATAGTGACTCGCTGTATGCTGACGGCTGTGTCGTCTAGAAGAACAGACGGTTGCGACAAAAAGATATAAAAAAAGATAGAAATGATGATAAAAAGAAATGGAATCACCAGCATAAGCACATCACTTAGCTTACACAGGAATTGAACTCAATTACCTTAGTTCAATAAACCATACCTCTAATACTACTATAAAATTGATTTTCTCCTTCATTCACAAACAAGATGTTTGCTAATTATTCAAATTATTTTTAACTGAGCTTAATATGAATTTTAGTTAACAAGCAGTTCAAAAAACCTCTTGATTTGTAATTGTGTCATATTTGAGCTACTTTTTATCTCATGAAATTCCCCACTTTGAATACCAAATACACTACTTCAAATGGATAATTGACTTACCAATGCGAAGACTGCCAGCATAATTTCCAATGCATCCATTTTCAATATACAGTTGTCCGACGACATCTGAACGCTCGAATCGTGACGGAGCTTGGCTAGAGTCCTTATCACTGAGCGAGCATGTTCCCTCCAGTGTGAGGTAGGATGCTGACTGGAATATACAGTAGTGTCTCAAAAATTCTCATCAGAATAGTGTGCGATGGAGGTTTTTGAGTAGGAAAAAGCTTGCTAGTATGCCTTATGTTTATCCCAAATTTGAAAGCTTGTAGCCCACTGGATTAGGAAAAGGACAGTGTGACGAACCTAATTTCATGTTACGAAAGTTATACAATTGAATCAAATTGAATTGCAGATCTGAACAAGTTATTGCGTAATGTAAGACATGTAGCCCATTTCCAAAACGCAGTTTTCAAGAGGGGCTCCACAGCTTTCAATTTACAGTTACGTATAGCTATTGCGGAATTTATACTGTTTGGCATGCCGATTAGGGTAAACTATCAACGTACCCTGCAAGTGTATTGTGTACTGAGAACGCATAGTTCCATGCAGAGTTTGAGACCTTCGTAACCAGGTGGAAGTCCATCGAAAACTTCGCGCGGCTCAACCTAGAGTGAGTAGCATTCGGACGTAATATTTACAAAAATCTACTTACATTTAGAGTATGGTCGCGATATCCGGCAAATGTTGAGCAATCATTGTACGCTTCAATATTGTCTGTAAAACGTGTTTTAAAACCCTTAAAACGTTTTCGTAGATTCTCCTCACCCGGATAGCAAAATTTGAGATCTGTCCGAGTGGCAAGTTGGTCTCGTTTCGGTCTTCTCAAGTGCACACCACCCTGATCAACATTGATCATGCATTGGCCGTCATCGAAATAAGTGAAGGAGTTGCAGTTCTGGAAGAGGTGGATGCTATACAAAGTACCAAAGTTCTAGAAATAACTGACCTCATCGCACATATTTTTGCAGGCTTTCAGGTCCTTGACATAGCTGCTATCAATGAACTCGCTGCCAACTGAGTTCTCAAAGCTCAGCCATATTGGGATGTGATGACCAGTGGAGCAGGCTAAATCTTTGAAACATTTGCCGATGTCAGTCAAAGATGCTTTAACACATTGACGACCTTGCAGATTTTTAGTTGCCTGCCTTCTGGGACCAAGGCCTTTTGTGGACCAGCCCTTATTCTTCGACTATAATTACGATGCTGCCATCTACAGTAAACCTACAGTAAATCTAGAAGGCCGACAAAAAATGTAGAGGTCATCCCTAGATTCAATGCAAAAGAAAGCTCATGGAGTGAGTTTATTCTAGGATCGTAGCCATTTCAAGAAAATTCAAGCCTTGACACACATGGTGTGCCAAGCGGTCCCACACGGTAGTCATTGCTTGACACACCATGTGTGTCAAGCGGTCGTCAATGTGTTAAATTACTAGATGAGGTTATTTATTAACTGCGAGATAGTTCGGGAACTGCAAAACTTTCTGAGCAAAATCCTAAGGCATTACAATGAATCCGGTCTCAACAAAAAAAAATGGTTTGATTGAGATCGTTCATCAGTTCGCAACTTATGTTGTACTTACGAGAAAGTTGAGTAAAAAACATGTTGAGCAAAAGAGGCTTGCACAAATGATTTCTGTTTCCTTCACGGATTTTTAGCTTGGTCCAAGTATGACATACATGCATCGATTTTTCAACAGGATTGAAAAAAGTTTCAGTACGTTCGGATTCATATGTAACACTGTTGTTGCAAACCACAAGACGAATTATTCGAGAACATATTCTTTGATTCTCACTATACTCACCTTTCTGCGGTGCTGTCAGCTCCGCAGAGCTTTCAATCTGCTTGCTACTGTCATCTCCACTTCCTCCTCCCAAGATGTTGCTCAAGAATGAGCGCGCTTTATGCATGAAGGATGGAGCAGAGTTTAACTTTACTTGCTAAACACCGAGCTTTATAGATGTTTGAAAATCATAACGATTACTTACTTTAGGTTTCCTCGGCTCTTGCCGTCTGATGTCCGTTTCTCCTCCTTCTTTCTGCTTCCTCACAAAGGGATAGTCGTCGGAAAAGTTGATTCTCTTCGCAAAGAATTGCTGGAACACTCGTGATTAGCTTCGGATTAGTGTAAAAAGTTATCGCCGAAAGTTTTCCTACCGCTCTCGGACTTTTGGGCTTCGTCGGCGTAATAAATGATGCTGTATTCATGACATTTGCTTCTAGGACTTCAGCTTCGGACGTTGTGGTTGTCTCGTCCTTTGTGATGGGGAATGAGTTCCTACTTTTACCGGCTAGAAAATCAACGTATCTGTCCGGATGTTTCTCTTTCAGTTGTTCTGTAAATGAAGGATAAAGAACTGGATTTGTTCTAATAATTATTATAAGTTAACATAATGACAACGATAATGAGTTCTTACCCAGCTTCTGTTGCAGCCGCTTCGACAAGCTCATATTTTCTTTTCCCCTTATTGAAGAATATGCAGTCTCTGACGATGACATCGCTTCGGTGCTCTAAAATTAACGATGCTTCTGCTTGATGTAAAATTATCCTCAAATGCTAGTCCAGATTATTATTGCTGTCAAGTTTTGGAACTGACTTGGGGAATTTTGCTGGTCTCGTTAATAAATACCATTAGGAAACGGATCTACTTTTTTTATTCCCCTTCAGAGTCACTTATTCAAGCGGCAGCAGCACTGCAGAGATTCAGCGGTGAACAGGAGAAGGAAGTATAATTTTTGAGAACAAAAAGTCATTTCTGGAAACTCGTGCCAATAGAGGTACTGAAAAATCAAAGTCACCTCCAAAATTTCGTAACTCATGCATACAATTAAAAAACTCTTCCCTCCCCACCGACTTTGCTAGCCCATTGAAATAAATTGCAAGCGTGGTAACAATTATTTATAGCTCATTCTTTGCTTACCGTGAGGACGTCTCCACCGCTCTTGAACATAAGATCATCAGTGTTCTTAGTAAGCTGTTCCATTGATGACTGCCATCTGAAGGTGTGATGATTTTTTCCCGAAATAATGCAAATAGCCGAAAGAATTCAACTACCTCCTATCCATTGATATCGGAGCGTTGATATCTCTCAATACGTTTGCATCCATGTTTTCCTCCTTCAGCGGATTTTCTAGATACTCTTTTTCCAGCGATTTTTCCATGAATTCCTCCTTCAGCGGTTTGTTGGCGTATTCCTCTAGTTTTGGTTTCACCGGTCTCCACATTTCCACTAAAATAATTTTGAATAAGATGGTTTAGATTATCAATCTACTTTATATTCTTGCATACTAATTTTATAACCGCATCATTTTAGCCTTGCTATATTCCACGTAGATAATTCGAATATCGAAAAACCCTTTCGTTGAAAGCTATGAATATTAGACTTATATTGCTTCAAGAAATAAATTTTCGAACTGCATATAATACAACGCTCCCACTTTTTCTTCATACAATCCCAGAGATAGAGACATTTACGCATGAAAACGATTCAAAAAACTTTTTGTTTTTTGGTTATCAAACCATAAATATCGAAAATACTTACCCAAATGACTGCTTGGCATCTCAGATACTGGTACGACTGTAGTTGACGGCAGAGTGACAGCCTCAGTAGTCATTTCTGTCGTTGCCGGTAATTCAGTATTCTGCAAATTCACCATTCTTCCGTCTCCTCTCAAAAGTAAGAAGATGAAAATGAGCTAAGGAAGAAAAAAAAGAGAAACTTCGAAAATCAATTTTTACAGGTGAGATAATCATTGCTTCATTATCGCTACATTTCCTGCTGATTAAATAGACTTGTTACTACGCACATTCAAATCCTACTACTACATAGTGTGCATGTATTACAGCGGGAGCTTTTTTCCAGTAAAAATTAATTTTGTCGGGAACCGACGAAATAAAAAATTTCAACTTCCCTTTTATAGCCATGCTTTAGATCTATTGCAGTTTTTTGATACTGCCACCCATTACCCACAAACTTTGAACACCTACTTGCACCTTTTCAGATGAAAACAAACCGTACCATTTCTTCTTTCACTAATGAAGTTGGCGGAATCGTAAACTGCATGGATTGTAGGTCATGTTCGTCTTCCATAGATGAAAATGCAACCGCAGAAGGAGCGGCGAGATCCTCTTGTGAATGGACGCTGTTCACTTCATTAGACTGTTGTGAACGAGCTAAAATGAGAATGGTTGAAAAAATCGGAGAGCCATATTTTTTAAATATTGATTGTAACATCTAAGGTTCTTACACTCCAAAGCATACAAAATTAGCTGAAAGCTATTGTGAAGAAAGCTTCTACAAAAGTAAATGCACCAAAAAAAGAGAAGATAAAATGCTGGCAACCCCTTTTAACATCTGCTTTTGACATTATCTGCGCCATTTTTACAAGAAGTTGAGTTCAACTCATGCTAAACTTTCCTAGAGAAACCATTCGAATGAAACCAGTCAATTGAAAAGCACTAAACAGCAATTTGTCTTTGTTTTCGCAAGGTTGTAGTCTCAATTGAAGATCTCAGTCGGAGATGTGACTATTAGCGCAGATGAACGCATATGAAACATTACAGAAAAGCATATCCGTCTTCATTGAGAGTATTAGAAGAAATGTGTCGATGAATCAAAAAATCGGCATAAACATCTTACTCAAACAATCCGTGCTGACTACCCGTAAGTAGATCATCTTTGCAGCAGGGACGGTGACATCGGCACCTTCGTCCAGGAAAAAGTGGCAGATGTGTTGCACCGAATCGTAGACGATTGAACGACAACGAGACTAAAAGAAATGCATTCTATGAATCTGCAGAGTGTTACTTTCTCAAGCGAATTTGAAAGGTTATTTTCTCACAGATTTTCTACCTGACTAAGTAGTATCGATGAATTCGACAAGGTACGACTCAACCTTACCGCGGTATCACTGCAGAAAGACAAGCAATTGTCTTCACTCTTCATTCTCCATTCGCTGTGGTATGGTTTCACATTCACTAGTCGTATATTCGCATAACGTTGAAAACATGGCCGCAACTCTAAAAACGTGAACTTCGAGAAGCTTGTAACGCGAAAGGCCCAAGAATGCATTTCTTCAGCTTCCGTTTCCATGTAAAAAGAGTATAGAGAAAAAGCAGCATAAAATTTGGCCTGAAGGTTTATACAAATTGAATCACACCTCCTGATGGGGAAACTTTTTTGCACTCATGATTTGCAAATATTAAGAAAAGGAGTTTGATGGGTGTCACAAGATCGAAAATCAAAAAGCAATCCGAGAATCGAGATTTATCAAACTACAGGTTGCAAGAACTATGCTTTTAGCTACTCCACCCTGCCTTCAAGAACTAAAAAGAAAGCATTTGACAAGTTATGAGGATAGATAACAGTGTATACTCAATTTGTGGAAAAACCGTTCAGTGAAGGGAAATGATGAAGTCTCTGGTAAAATGCCTTCTAAAGGAGATGTTCATAACAAAATCTTTTTTTTTTTGAAAAAAAAATGTTGTTACCTTTCGTGAGTAGATTAATAAGCAGATCCAGGTTAGTATTTATCAGTAAGTGAAAAATGGCTGCTTTCAACATCTGCACGCCGACGGTGGAGGAGGTTAGTTCGTCTTTCATTATGGAATTTTTGTTTGTAGCATCCTGGGACAACATCGAGGCTAGCCGGCGATGGAGGAGGTTTGTGGTGGGGTAGACATGAAATCATAAATCTCCTACCACTTTAGGCCTCTGAAGAAGACGAATAGCTCGAAACGTTAGGCCGCCACTTATTATCAAATACTATCCTCGATCGGCTTACTAATCTACTCACAACATACTAACAATGTCGGGTTAAGAAGGGAGGAAACTTGGAAACTACTAGCCGTTACCTTTGCTAGAATAAGAAAATATTTTGGTCTCTACCATTAAACGGCAAATTTTAATTCGTGATATAGCTCTAGAACTTTTGTAGTTTGCATCTGTGATCCTGGCTCATTTATATTTGCCACAGAATTTGACTTTCGTGTGAGTGAATCTAAATGCATGTTCCAAAACCCAATCCCATATTTCCATCAGTGATTGAAATCCAGAAGTGCTATCACTTAGAAACAATGCGGATCTACAACGAAGCAATAATCGTTCACTTTCGAGATACGGATCGAGAGAAAGTGATGGAGTGATGGCGAACAGGTTGAATTATCTGTCTTCTCAGGCAACAACAATTGTCTTCGGCTTGACTTAAGCATTTTATCAAGAAAACCGAGTCCGTGACTGAAAAAACGCTATATTTCATATGAGGGAGGAGCCAAAAATTGCTAGGAGCGAGATTTGTCATTTTATGTCAATCACTCTTTGATTTTGGACTGAAAGGTTTGGTGTGCTTTTTATATGCGTGAAAAGTGGGAGACTCATGGATTCATGGGCCATCTTATTTTTTCCATGGCTAAATGTCTTTATCGAACTCTGACCCAATAGATCATGTTTGTGGGAACCACGAAGCTTTGCGCAATTGAATGGTAGCCCAAAACATACCAAAAACATCAAGGCTATAAATTTTCGAGATTATTAGAATTCTAAGTAAGTCTATCCTTCCTTGCGAGAACATTGGGTCATGCAATTTTTTTTAAAAGAGGGAATAGTAGCATTATTTTGCATAAAGTAATCTATTGGGTCTTCAAAAGCAAATAATATACTTCACTCTGTTGTTTTTATGTTCGTGCAATCGCGCAAAGTTGAACCGTCCCCGGTGAATTTAAGATAATAAACACTGGAAATTTTTCCTCAAAGTCTTATGGACTTGGCAAATCTTTCGCCAGCAAGCTTTCACTACAATTCTTTCTTCAGAATTCGAACAGTAAAGTGTTTGCTGCATTTCCATGGATTAGCGAGTCTAGAAATTTTGAAGCAACAACGACAATCCTAGAAGAAAAGTGAAAATAAACAGGCAACAAAATTTGAAATAAGCATTGCAGCGACAGAGAGAGACTTGGTAGTAAAGTATGCTGATTTTCTTTCAAAATTTGGAGCGGCGGAAACCAAACACACGTTAAGTCACAACGTTTGAGGAAAAATACCAGGTAACGGCGCGATATGAAACATGGTAGACCCGGACTATCCCTAGTCACCTGATTTTCAATAAAGCACAAAATAACTAACCCCTTGCGCTTTGCTGTGCTGAAACGAATCCGAGAAGTGCTAGCAAGCACGGAAGCAACATGAGATGATGATTGAGATCGAAACGTCTGCGCGCGATCACCGCAGCTAGCTTAGAGGTGGACAGAGTGACCCAATTACGGTGACTGACGGCCCCGGATCAGCCACTCACTGATTAGGAAACATCACTTCTAGCACATTCGTATTTCGGCGAAGTCGTCGAACTTAGCAGAAAAGAGAAGAAGGCAGTTTTATCTGATATTTAGTGAAGGATATATATGCAATCCTTCCAACACTCTCGACATATGACATCTCGAAATCCTCAGCATCGCAAAGCAATAATTTAGGGCTGCATGCCTAAAACGTCTTCGCCGCGCCAGGCAAAATCTCCACTTTCATTTACTTGCCATATCCAGGCCTCTTCATAGCGCTGATTCCAAATAAGGCACTCAAAATGCGTGAATTCCTCAAGAACCCCATTTTTGAGACAATTTTGTGAGAAGAGTGGAAGAGTGCTTCTGATGCAATCCTTGTTGAACATTATGCGTTCATTGTGTTTGCCACGTGAAAACACGTCAAGGGCTGAGGAGAATTACCCTAATTTCACGCGTGTAAGGCGCACTTTTTTAAAATTTCAAGCGAGCCTCTCAGCCGCTCCACTTTATTCCGGAAAGAAATCCTTACATCGCACGATTCTCTCAAGCAATAGACAGCACGCTATAGGGTCCTTTGGTTGTAAAGTCCTTTGGCGTGTCTGGGCTAGTCGATTTTGAAAAAAAAATCCCCCGCGCCTTATACGCGTGAACTTAGGGTAGTTCAATGGGGCGGGCCGTGCGAGGGAAAGGCGTGTTCCTCGCGGCTCGGCGTCCTCTGCGCCTATTTCCTCTTTTTACAGGGGTGTACAGACGGATCCCCACAATTTCCAAGAAAAACGGTGAAAACCTCAATTTCGACAGAAGTTTCGCCACAGAAAATGCCTTTGCTCCCGTAGTGAAGACCCAGAATGGAACTGTGGTCTCGCTGGTTGAGCTGCGGCAGGCTTTCTTTGTGACTGAGCAATTTTTGGATTGAAAAATATTGTTTTCCAGCACAATTTCCATGAAAAACCGTGAAAACCTCAATTTCGACAGAATTTTCGCCACAGATAATGCCTTTGCTCCCGGAGTGAAGACCCAGAATGGAATTGTGGTCTCGCTGGTTGAGCCGCGGCAGGCTCTCTTTGTGACTGAGCAATTTTTGGATTGAAAAATATTGTTTTCCCCACAATTTCCATGAAAAACGGTGAAAACCTCAATTTCGACAGAATTTTCGCCACAGAAAATGCCTTTGCTCCCGTAGTGAAGACCCAGTATGGAACTGTGGTCTCGCTGGTTGAGCTGCGGCAGGCTTTCTTTGTGACTGAGCAATTTTTGGATTGAAAAATATTGTTTTTCCCCACAATTTCCATGAAAAACGGTGAAAACCTCAATTTCGAAAGAATTTTCGCCACATTGTCCAGGACCTCCAACCACCTCAGCTTTTGCTTTTAAACCCTGGGACTTTTCCGCTATTGTTTAATTTTTAGCGGCCAACCATCTTTGAGCCCTTTATTTTGCCCTTGCTCCCGTAACGAAGACCCAGCATGCATCTGCATTGGTGAGTCTTTCAGGAAAGCCATTATGTTGATTTTAACTAAGCAAAAAAAAAGAATCAAGCTGTATTATATAACAGGAATCTGGTGAGAGGTGGTATTTGAGAGGAAGGATTAGATATTTTTTGTGTCTACCTGCGAAGTTTGATTTTGCACTTATTTAGTTTCTAGAGAGGAGATGTAAACACCGTTTATAGTTAGATGCAGTCCCAACTAAGCAAATACTAATGTATCTGCCCCGACCCACTTACAGCGGCCCGTAGGGCCGCTAGTTGCATATATAATTTGTATAGGCCGCATTTTCCAGCTTCTTGTATGTATTGCGCCGATGCCCAGCGGCCGACTGTCTTTCCTTCAAAGTCATGACTACCAAACCCAACGTGCTAAATGTTTTTGTTGAGAGCGAATGATGTACTGAAGTAACGAATTCGATGAACCATAAGTAAAATTCGTCGGAAATTTCGATTTGTCGGAAATCTCAATATTCCAGCAACCTTTGCCCTTATCAGAAGCATGTTGAGAACTGTTGAGTTATGTAGGTAAATAGTACAACACTGAGATGTTTTCACTGACTTCAGAAGTGAAGACGTAAAAGAAAAGGCGATCGGCTCCCGAAGATCATCGTGGGATCTTACAAATAACTAAAAGATGCCACCTGGCAACAATGTACTATTCAATATGTTTAAAGTGAACGATACTGGAAACAATTGAGCATGGATAGACAGTGTAACATCCAGATTTGGAGCTTCAGGATATAAAGCTTTCTTGTTGCGTTCCTTTTTTCCGGTGAGGATGTTAATGCATATAACATTTACAACACAAATGACCGGAGAAAATGCACTTTGTTCGAAGAACATCATTCCTGCGGTATGATTCAGTTCATTGAATTCGCTCTTGCTTTTTTGGCTCGAACTCTGCTTTACATATTAGGTCGGTGCAAAAGTTTTGTCAGTTTTTTCAATCCAACGGCAAACACGCTAAAACAAAGATAAACAAACATTTTAAAGTGTATCCGATGCAGAATTTGTTCCTCTTTTCAGTGTTTAAACTCTCATTGCGTTTCGATGAGAGATTGATGAGATATTCGCTGGAAATTGCAACCATTCGTTTTTACCATGTTCAACTTTCACTAATTTTCAATTTTTGTATGAGACTTTCGAAGGAACCCTAATAACCAGCACATAGGGCAAATCTTTTGCCAATAGAAGCAATTCTTTGTAGGTCGACGCCTTGTCTTTCAGAATTTCTACTATTCATTTTTTGAAGTAACCAAAAATTTTACATTCAGCCTATTTTAACCCCGTAGAACATAAAGTGTTAAACACTTCAGTCATCATTCGATGCAACTTTTTCTCCTCCTTCTAACACTTGTTTTTTTTGCTGAGACAGGCGAAATTTGTGGGGTAAAACCGCAGTATTTCTCAATTTTAGGAGTGCGCACTGACGTAACCTATGTTTCAAATCTTCATAATTTGGAGCGAACTTCGCTCATTTACTTTGTAATGATAGCGGTAGTAATAATCGAGTATTGAAACCTCAGTATTCTGCAGGTTTTGCATGTTTGGTGCAATAACAGGTTATGCGATTTTCCAAAACACAAGGCTTTTGAATTATTTAGCAAAAATCTGAAAAAGCAGCTGAAAAGAAGAAAAAATTGCATAAGTTGGCAAAAGGTTTGCCCTATCTGATGGTTATTAGGGCTCCTCCGAAAGTCTCATACAAAAATTTTGAAAATTAGTGAAATATGGACATTGGTAAAAACCAATGGTTACAATTTCCAGCGAATATCTCATCATTCTCTCATCGAATCACAATGAGAGTTTAGCCGCTGGAAAGAGGAAGAAATTCTGCATCGGATACATTTTGATATGATTGTTTATCTTCATTCTAGCGTGTTTGCCGATGGATTGAAAAAACTGACAAAATTTTTGCACCGATCTAGTATATTCTGAACCATTTTAATGTGAAAAATGTGAAAATTATCAAGAGTTCGATAAATGGAAAGCTTTCATAACACTATTTTTCGTGAGATAGAAAGAAGAGATAGCTTCATCTAGCGTATAATGAAACAAACTAGTGAAGATGTGCGTCGTCGATAAGTAATGATGTTCGTGTAGAAGGAACGGAAGATGGATCCTTATATTAAGTCATAAGGAAGTTCACAGCACTTGCATAATTTTTTTTCAAATCGCTGAACTCCAAGCAGATTGACCATTCTCAGAGCTACCCGGAGAGCCCAGATACTGTAGTTATATAGAGGCTTTCTGAGGCTGTTACGGAGACCGTTCATGTTTTTGAAGGACCACTTGCAAAAAATTCCTAGAGAGATTGAAAAATCGACCATTTTTTGCCCCAAAAATGTATCAATTTTCGAGTAAGTGACTTTGAAGTCTTCTAGTTCTGCAGAGAACCGACCATATCTTTGATTGCTGAAAACATTAATGGAGTAATATTTGCACATTTTTTGGACATCACCCAGGCCAGGCGATTTTCGCAGAAACGACGTCACATGCGAAAAGAGCTGTGGTCAGAGCAAGTTTGTCAGCTCGTAATTTTTGAGTGCAAATCGCGAAACGCTAACGCAGCTGTGGGTCAGAAATTAAAGACTCCCCATTTAGATCACCTATGATCTAGACCAAATTCTTTGCACTGCACAGAAAAATGGCAGGAGGAAGGAAAATTGTGAAATTTTCATGGTCGGAAAGATTTTCTTTTTTGATGTGCAGATCAAAAATGGTTTGATATTCATAGAAATCGGAAGCGATTCTGAAAAGTTTGCGCTTTCCTCTACAAAAAAGTATAAAAACTTTGTGTCAAAGTCCGACCGAGCGCCAAGAAAAGGCGTCAGAAAATGAATCCAAAAGTGCCCGGAAACTTTCTTTACAACCTATTAGGTTGTCCCAAAAGTAAAAAGTATTCTAACAAGGGAACGATACTCGGTGTCCGTGGCTTTTTCAGATGACATGTATACCATTACACTCGTCTTCGAACGCTGATTCCGAATCTGACTTCCGTTTCTGCTAATCGCTTCAAAGATGTTATGATGGATCGCGCGGAGTTTGGCTGCCTAGTGATATATGGTCGGAGCGCAAGCGACAGCGTTACGCTGTGGTCTAGTGGTTAGTACGTAGCCTCATGAGTCGATGCAGGTGTAGGTTCGAGTCCCTTTGTATTCCTCAGTTTTGCCTTGCCTCAGTTAACCTTCTTTCGCATCCTCAAGCTGAGTGAACGCCCTTACTCTTCCGAAGAAAATTTGGAATGAATGATTGGTGTTTGCGCTGCAATGTATCCAGTGATTATAAGTCGAGTGAATTTTCTTGAACAAGTAAGGCAGTGCAAAGGTAAAAACACAAAAGGATTTGAACATACACCTGCGTTGACTTATGAGGCTATCGCACTATTTACTAGACCAGAACGTGGCCGCAGTAGAGGCC